GTTCAGGTGATCATGGCGTTATTTGAAAGAGAAAGGAGTTTCTCTCAGTGTGCTAGACTTATGTCTAGTACATTTACAACATCAAGTCTCACAAACAGCCACAAACTGATCAACCATGATGATCACCACTGTAATTTGTGGTGGAGAGGGTGGTTGTTGCTTTAACACCATGACAGATTCCCCACCCCCCCCTCTCCTTTACTTTTTGAATAGGTCCATGGGATCATTAACAAAGGTTGCGCGTTCAAGCCCACATCGGGACTTTGAGCTTGCAATCTCGGCTCACGTTCCGGTGCAGTGATGGGTGTGTGTGTGTGTGCTGGAGGTGCTCATCCTTCAGATGAAACATTAAACTGAGGTCTGTACCCATTCATATGGATTTTAAAGATCCCACAGCACTACACAAAACGAGAAGAGAATTTCTCCCGGTATCCTGGCCAGTAATCCCCCAGATAAAATTGTTTGTTCACTTCATGGGCAGTTTGTGAGACATTGCTGTGTGCAATAAAATCCTGTGAAGTGCTTTGAGGTGTCTCAAAAACATGACTAGGAAGGACAAAAATAAGATTTTTTTACATTAAAAAAATTGGGAAGGAGCTTATTAGAAAACATCAATAGAAAAGATCAGAGGCCTAAAGTTGCATTTATCCTTAGCCTGTAAGACCATTTTGTCTTAATATTTTAATGAATTGTGGAAATTTAAAAAAATTTGGATGCTGATTTATTTTTAAAAACTGGCTTCCAAATTAATGCTGAGTCACAAGGCTGTGGGTTCAAACTCCACATCAGGACTTTGATCAGGACTCCCAATCCCTCAGAGGATCGAATTCAAGATACTCGTCCTCACTTTTAAGGCCATCCATGGCCTTGCCTCCTCCTACCAACCTGCCCGCTACCTCCATTCAGCGGGCTCCGGCCTGCTCCTTTCTGTCCACACACTCTGGGACTCCATCCCACAGTCCCTTCACCTCACTTCCTCCCTTGCCTCCTTCAAGGCTAGCCTCAAGACCCTCCTCTTTGATTGTTCCTTCAGTCCTCCCAACGTGAAAGGCGCTAAACAAATGTAATCTTGTTGTTGTTGTTGTTTAGTCACCCTCCCACCTCTCTGCCTTCTCTCACCCCTATCCCACTCCTTCCCCATGCTTGGATCCTGATCCTTGACTGTCCAAGGCCTTGGGACATCCTCCCGACGTGAAAGGCACTCTGTAAATGTAATTTTGTTGTTGTTGTTGTTTGAACTCACATAGTCTAAGCTGACACTCCAATGAAGTCCTGGGGGTGTGTTGCATTGTCGGAGGTGCCATCCTTCCGATAAGACATTAAACTGAGATCCCGTCTGCCTTTTCTGTTGGGCATTAAAGATCCCATGGTGCTATTCGAAAACAGAAGGGAGTTTTTCCCAATAGCCTGAACAAAATAAAACTGGTCATGGGTGTTTGTGGGGCATTGCTGTGACCAAATTCGCTGCCACATTAGGCTACAAAATAGTCACTTTATGGTAAACCTGTGAAGTGCTTTTAGGAGAAGTCCTCCCAATATGACAGTCACTATAGCAAATGCAAGGCTTATTATATATTATTATTATTTCTGATGCTAAATAGATGCATTTAAGAGGAAGCCAGACACGAGGAGATAAGCTTTCACGTGAACAGAATAGAAGGGTGTGGGAGGGAGAAAGGAATGGCTGAAGACTCGTGGAGTATAAACACCAGCAAGGACTGGATGATCCGAATGGCCTGTTTCCATGCTGTACATTCTTTGTAAATTCTATCCTCTTTAAATTCTGTCGGTGTGAGACAGTGACGGAGCCAGGTGATGTTGCAGAGGTGGGGAAAAGTGGAACGGGTCATGGCACAGATATGTGGGGTGAAGGACAGTTGAGGGTTGAATAGGACACCGAGGTTCCATATTGGCTCTGTGAGGTGTAGAGTGCATCCATAGGGGGTGATGCTCTCAATGCCCGAAGTATGGAGGGGCTGACGGGAACTAAACAGGAGTGCCTCAGTCTTGTTGACATTCAACTGGATAAAAGTTAGTTCTCATCCAAGACTTGATGTCCAACAGGTGATCTGTGAGGACAGCAGTGGTCCTGGAGTTGTATGTTTATTGCTGCCTCACACTGTTTTGATGCAGTGAGCAATGAGTCAACTAACACCCTAGGTCTCTTTCAGCTTCTTCTTTGGCTAATTCAATCCCATCCATGAACAGGATTGGATTTATCAGTATTAAACTTCATTTGCCAGCCCATGTGCAGACCCTAGCAATTTCCCTTTGTAGGACAGTTGCTGCTTCCCATGATTCCACAGCTCCCCATGGAAATTCCAGAGATGTTTGTTGGAATGTTTGCGCACTCTCTCACTGGATGGATGCATCCTGTTTACCTAATTCCCAAAGAGTATTAGCCGCAGGTTGGAAAGACCCAACCACAGACCTGCAGATCCATTCTAACATTCTGTTGCCAAACATGTTACCTTGGAGCCAGTTTACCAAGTTAGTGGTGACCCTTAAGCTAGAATGACCATACTTCCCTGATTTCTGGTGACAGTCCTGCATGAAGTATTGTGTCCCTGGGGACAAATTTGCCCTGTCAAGTTCAGCAACAAACTGAGCAAGAACAATAAAAATCTAAAACAGATAGCAACAGCTTGCATCTCACACAGCATCTTGCGTCTCATATAGTTCCCCTCATGCAGGGTGGTGTCCCAGAGCGCTTGACAGTGGCGGAGCATAGCTCTGAGCTGGGGGGAGATGACCGTAAGCATTGTCAAAGAGGAAGATCTTCAGTTGTGATCTAAAAGAGGATAAGGAGGGGGCTAGGCAGAAGGTTTGGCGAGAGACTTGAAAAGTTTGAGGGCACAGTGGCTGAAAGCGTGGCCGCTAATGGTGCAGTGGAGGGGATGAGGGACAAGCAGGAAGCCAGAGGGATGAGGGACAGAGCCAGCCAAGCGGAGGCAGCGGGTAGTGGTGTGGGAAGAAAGCAGATCAGAAAGCTAAGGAGGTGCTGGGGTATTAAGGGATTTGTAGACGTGTGTCAGGATCTTGAAATCGATTCGTTTGGCGACAGGGAGCCAGTGGAGTCTGACTAAAACCGGTGTGATGGGGGAACGGAGTTTAGTGCGATTGGGTGTGCGGGAGGCAGAATTCTGTATCAGTTGTAGTTTGTGGGTTGTGGGTTGTGGGTTGCTGTTGTTGTGAGCTGACAGATAGCTTTTGTTGTTATATAGTCTGTAAAAGGAGATCAGATCCTGAGGTTTGAGAACTCCAAGCCAGGGTTTGTGGCCACCCGCTTGGCCGGGGGTGGGGGATGTCTGTCTGCTTTACCGGTCCGCGCGGTGGGTATCACTCCACGGGGTCAGCGCAGTGGCTGTGTTTTTGCAAAAAAATAGCAATAGCAAAAAAAACTAATGCAAAAGGCATTCCTGGGGGAGGGGGAGGGGGGGGGAGGGGGGGGAGGGGGGGGCGAGAGGCGGGGGGGAGGGGGGGGGGAGGGGGGGGGGGGGGGGGGGGGAGAGCGAGGTGGGGGGGGGGGAGGGGAGAGCGAGGTGGGGGGGGGGGGAGAGAGCGAGGTGGGGGGGGGGGGGGAGGGGGGGCAATGGGATGAGAGCGGTGTGAGGTGCAGACAGTGAGAGTGGGAGCAGACAGCCCGGGGGGAGGCAGTCAGACAGAGGGGGACACGGGCTCTCCTGTGTGTCACATCACATCAATCAGATCAGATCAGATCAGGGGACTAATTCCTGTGAGAGCTCCCACTGACAGGGCTGTGATCCGGTCTCTCCAACATGGCCACCGTGATGGGAATTATACAATCATAACTTTGCAAAAACGCCTTTATTTCATCCGCCCTCACAACCACCCGCTCACCCTCCCGCCACTGCCCATAACAACTCACACATTCTCTCCGGGGAGAAGGTGCGAATTCTACAGCAGGACGTGCGGCAACTGCGATTGCTCAAACTGACTCTCTCCCCCCTCCCTTCCCTCCCCCCCCCCCCCTCCCTCCCCTTCCCTCCCCTCCCCCCCCCTCCCCAGTCAGTCCCCTCCCTCTCCCCCTTATAACGCGTGTGGTGGGGGCCTGTGACTGGCTGTCTGAGTGCAGGGAGGACCTGACCTGAGCCGCACAGCTTTGCTGTGTTGTGTGTCAGTGTAAGTGAGAGAGAGAGAGAGAGAGATCTGTGGAGGAGAAATTTCTACACTTATTTTTGTAACCAGTAAGACTTCTTCAAAGGCAAAAGAAACAAACACTCGGTTCCTTCCCCCCTCTCCTGCCTTCTCTTTCTATCTAAATTCAGGCTTTTTTGTTTTTATATATACATAAATTAATCCCCTATTCCTATTTGGGATCGACAAAGTTGTGGAACTACAGTACAGTACATCGACAAAAAGGAAGACTGCGTTTTTTTTTCCAGTTGGATTTCTGCTCGAGGAGAGAAAGAAGATTTTTTGGATTATAAAATGCTTTCTTGAACGAAAGGAGGAGAGAGAAAGAGCGAGAGAAGGATTTTGCCTGAAAAAAATAAGGTTGACGTTTTTTTTCTGAAACTGGTTGCTTCTACCTTCAGCGAGACGTGGCTCGCTCCGGGTTTCAGGGGTGGAGAGAGGAAGAGGAAAAAGGAAGAGGAAAAAAGGACTCTTCAGTTTCCAACAGGAGTCCTGAAAGGTCTCTTTTGCTGTTCAATTCTTTTCCAATAGGAGCCTAAAATATAAAGTTAGCCACTCTATGTGCGTGTGTGTATATTATATTGTATATATATGCCCACACCAGACAGCTTTGCTTTCTCTGGGAATTGGCAGGTGAATTTGAAGTCCCTGAAAACACCAAACACAACGAGTTTCTCCTACTGACGTTTGGGATCATGAACACCAAAGCTTCACTGTTCTAGGATTTAGAAGGTGAGTTTTCTTGAATTAAAATGTGCATATATTTTTTTATATACAAACCGTTTAATTGAATTGAATCTTGTAACGTTTTATACCAGATGCAAAAACCTCTTTTGAGGGGGACGTGTGGATTCTTTTTGCATTCTAGGATTTAAAAGGTGAGTTTTCTTGAATTCAAATGTGTGTGTGTGTGTATATATTTAAAAGTTTAATTTAATTTAATCGTGTAACATTTTATAAGATGCAAAAATGTCCCCCCTTTTGTGGTGGGGTGTGTGGATTGTTTTTGTGGCACTGTGTGTGTCTCTCTGCTGTTAATACTCACTCCTATCAGTGAAAAGCTTTTCAGACCCTGGAAGAAGCGGTAGGTCGGCGCCATTGTGTAACTTGCTCAGTCATGGTTTGCAGGAGAGATTTAAACAAGCCTTTCTACAGCCACGCTGAACACCCCAGATTGGTAAATAACTTGCAATTAAACATTGAAAAAATATTGTTATTGTTCTTTCAATATCACACATGAACCAAAATACAAGCAAAAAGGCACCTCCATTAACACGCACAATGCTTAATGTGTGCGAGCAGACCAGAGCTTATTACTGTGTGTGTATTTAAAATGTTGAGAGCAAATGAAAACACACACATAGCGTTGGAGACAAAGCCAGGAGCTTGTATGGTAAACTCGTATGGCAACTTTATTCCACGATTTATAGGGGATCCGAGGCGATTACATGTTTGATAGGGATATGCATTCATGTTTTTCTTTATAAAAGGGTTTTTGTGTGGTTCAGTTACCCAGGGATTGGATTGGAAGGGGAGTGTGGAGAGTGAGAGAGCCCTTTGCCTTTTGGTCTGAAGTCCTCTGTGTGGCTGCTAACTCTTTTGAAGGTGTTAAATATCCCATTCAGTCATGTCATGGCAGATTCCAGAGTTTGTTTTATTTTACAAATATACTATTAAACTTTTCATTCCTGCTGAGCAAAACAACCAAACANTTTTTTGTCAATTTCAAAAGTGATAAGTTGCCCTGGAGAAAGTCAGTTCTTGCAACAGAAACAATTAAATATTGCTTGTTTGTGAGATTCAAGAGATCCACATTGATTAAGTTGTTTCTTGGGGAGGGGATGGATGGGGGTGCTGGTCAGCAACATTAAGTGTTGTGTAAGGCATTGTGGAATAAGAGAATTGATTTAACTTTTTTTCTCTCTCTTTCTTTACCCCCCCACCACCACACACACTCACAGTGTGTGTTGAGTGCCTGGCATCAGCCCCATATCATTTAGTAACCTGTCATTTCTTCTCAGCGACACAGTGTTACAACAGTGTCAGTGTTGCATCGACCTACAATCAACGCCATTCTCTCCAGCAATTGATACATTCTTAAGTAAATAAATAACTCGTACCTTTTAAGTCTTTTTAAAAAAAGTTGGCCTGTTTGTTTGTGTGATCTTGAAAGTCATGCAAAGTGCCACAACTGCAATCATTTCGCCGACCCACCCTGAAAAAAAGGGTTTGAGTTGCTAAAGTGTGGGACTTTTTAAAAAACGAAACTATTGAAATTATCAGCAATTTAACAAACTAATTAAATTGGCAATTGGTTGCTGCTGTTCGCCCACAGAATATAGACACTTCACTTTACAGGATATTCTGTGAAGCGCTTTGAGACGTCTCGATGATGTGATAAACCGCTATATCAAATGCAAGGATTATTATTATCGTTATTAAATTATCGATATGCTTGTTAGAAGCAGCTTTATCTTTTAGACCCAAAGTTGATAAGTCCGTGGGCCTGGTAGCTGTAATATTTTAATAACTATTGTTAAACAGATACAACAATTGTATTATATGTTTTTATTATTTTATATATTAAGTATTGTTATGATTCAAGTGGTCACATATGCCTTCCCCCCCTCCCCCACACACACACATCCATCCATCCATCCATCCAACATAGCACCCTCCACACAGGATAGTGTCTCAGAGCGCTTAAGGTATGATTGGAGGTGGGCAATGTGGCGGAAGTGGAAGAAGGCAGTCCTGGTCAGGGACCGGATGTGGGAGAGCAAGGATACCTGGGAGTCGAACCAGATGCCTTGGTTGTGCATTGGTTTGGTGAATCTGAGGGAGAGCCCAGGGAGATTGAGGAGTTTGAGGAACCGCAGGAGTGAAGCTGTTGTTGGGAGCCAAGGAGTATGGATTTGTCTTGTCCATATTCAGCTGCAGGAAGTTTGCACTCATTCAGGCCTTGATGTCTGCCAGACAAGCTGATAGAACATCGGTGGACCTGGAGTTGGTATTGGAGGAAGCAAAGTAGATTTGTGTGTCATCCGCAAACATGTGGAAGTTTACCCCGTGTCTGCGATGACATCACCATGAGGGAGCATATAGATAAGGAAAAGCAGAGGGCCAAGGATGGAGCCCTGGGGTACTCCGCAGGTGATCGGGCGGGGGCGAGAGGAGAAACCATTTGCTGAGATGAAATGGAGGCGGTTGGTTCAGTAGCACTCGAACCATGCGAGTACGGTCCCACTAAGGTAGATGAGGGAGGAGAGCCGATGGGGGAGGATGGCGTGGTTGACTGTATCAAACGCAGCAGAGAGATCCAGGAGGACGAGGAGGCAGAGGGTGCCCTGGTCAGAGATAGAAAAAATGTCGTTTGTGACTTTAACAAGTGCTGTCTCTGTGCTGTGGCCAGGGCCAAAACCAGACTGCGGGGGCTTGAGGAGGCAGTGGAGGGAGGGTGTGACCGAAGTTGACCTGCAACAATGCGTTCCAGGACTTTGGCAAGGAATGGCAGGTTGGAGATGGGACGGTAGTGTGAGAGATTAGAGGGATCGAGGGTGGGTTTTTTGAGGAGGGGTGTGATGACAGCGGTTTTCAGGGGGAGTGGAACAGAGCCTGAGGAGAGAAACTGGTTGACCGTGTCGGCCACAGAGGGGAGAGAAGGGGGAGTTGAGTGACCAGCAACTGGGTGGGGAAAGGATCGAGGCAGCAGGTGGGGAACTTCATCCAGGTGATTGTGGTTGAGAGGGAGGAGGGAGAAATGGGCGCAAAGGAGTGTAAGGAGGGAGGAGTGGCAGGAGCTGTGGCGGAGGGAGAAGGCGGTATGGATATATATTTCTCTCTCTATATATAATATATATATACACACACAGTATTTAATAATAATAATCCTTGCATTTGATGTAACGCCTCATAAGTCGCTATATCAAATTAAGTATTGTTATTATCACATCTTTGAGATATCACAAAATATTGGCCACAAAATATACAGTCAATTCACTTTACAGCATATTCTGTGAAGCGCTTTGAGACGTCTAGAAGATGTGAAAAGTATGATATCAAATGCAAGGATTATTATTATTATATCTGAAAATGCTTCACAGAATGTATTGACCATATTTTGTGGGCTATAATATAAATATATTTGATATATAAAAGCATACTGGGACCCTACCCTGCATGATATAGATATATAGAGATATATATTATATATATGTTTAAAACACACCCTTGCTTTGTCCCGTTTAATACGGTTACAAATAGACCTATCCACTTCTGAACACAGGCTGGAAAAGAGGTGTGTGTAGATATTGGCTAGATGAATATACTGCGACCATCGATGACTGTTGTTCGTCCAATTTTGAGATTTTTAATAGTAATTCTCAGTCAATTGTTTATGACAGTCTGGTTCAGTTGGTAGCACTCTCACATCTGAGTCAGAAGGTTGTGAGTTCCACGTCACAATTTGGAACTCACATAGTCCAGGTTGAAACCCCAGTGCAGTGCTGGGGATGTGTTGGCATTGTTGAAGATGTTAAACTGATGAGCTATCTTTGTGTCTGTTTGGGTGGGTGTTAAAGATCCAATGCAATATGCTACCTTTTCCAATTGATGACATTTTCTGTGTTAAAAAAAATAGTTAATGGGTAGGCCTGAGACATTGAAAAATGTTAAGTGTTTTACAAAAGTGAGATCTTATGATATGCAGCCCTGATAATAGTCTGCAGGGAAGGGTTGGGGGGGGATGGGGTTTGTTTATAGTCTTTAGTTCCCAATGGTTCAGGATTTGATGTTAGCAGTTCCTGTTTATAACCTATCACTCCTCACTCTCAGCTTCCCCACCTCCCCACCCTGATCCACACACCTCACGCATATTAAACATTTCTGCTTTGATGTTCTATTTGGGGTTTTGCTAGCCATAAAATATGCAGTACTTATATTTGTATTATAGTGATAATCCTTGTGTTTGATGCAACGCCTTTCAAGTTGGGAGGACGTCTTGAAGCACTTCACAGGATTTTGCTCACAAAATATACAGTCAAGTAACTTTACAGTCTATTCTGTGAAACGCTTTGAGACGTTTTGAAGACGTGATAAGGCACTATGTCAAATGCAAGGATTAATATTATTTACTGTAGCATTATAATCTGTAGGTGAATGGCTACTATATATATATTTTTTAAAAAGCTACACCAATATGGTTTGTAAGCTACATATTAATTAAATGCTGGTGTTTAACATGATTTACAACATAGATTTCTGGTGTCCATATTTGCGTGCGATTTACTGAAGCATCTGCCAGTAACTAACCATGCCTTAAAATCGTACAGAAAACAATTCCCAGCATGATGCTTAAATTGTCAGATGGCAATATACGCATCCTGGAAAGGTCCACCAATTTGATTCGGGGAGGGGGTGGGGGTGATCACCATATTAATTCTGACGATTTGGCAGCTGGTGATGTTATCATCGTGACGAGTGCAGTGGAATACAATTCAGCATTTACATTGTACTGGGTATCACATGATCAATTTGGATGAAGATGGCTCTTCGGCCTATCTGATTTCATCCTTTTAAAACACCCACCTTACAATCCCCTCCCCCCGGCATCAGGCTGATTGAATCCAGTGTCCTGGCTCTACCATTTTTCCTGGCAACCTGTTCTGGTCGTTAGTTATCCTGTGGGTAAAGAAAATCTTCCAGGTGTCTGTCCTGAAATTGTCCTTTGCAACTCTAAACCCATTTCTTGTTCCACACCTTCATTGCATCCTAAAGCATTGATCTGGGTTTACTTTTTCAATCCCATTTAAATGTTATACACTTCTATGAGGTCTCCTCGTAGAGTCATCAATAAAAACGTTTTGAATAACCCCTTATT